AAAAGCCTACGGAGCCAAGTAATTTTTAGAGCATCGATGTACCGGGATAAGCTCTGGTATCTTCAAGCCACCCACACTGTAGTCTTGAACCATCTGGTTTCTAGTAACACAATCTTTTCCCTTTCATATGAATTGAAAAACATGTTGTTCAGATCATCCACAATATACTTCGGAGGGTCAGGAATGGTCAATACACATTACGTAAGTTTCGACATAAGAAGAGATTTAACTACAGTCACTCGGCCAAGAACCATCAAATTCCATTTTGACCACTGAACAATGTCTTTCCTCAATGATAACAACACTCTATTATAATTAAGCGAGGCTATTGAACACAGATCTGTTGAAAAACAAATGCCAAGCACTCAAAAGTAATATTTGCAAAATGGTCAAGAACATTGAAAGCACCGTACATAGATCTTTCAGTTCCATCGAAAGGCAATACTCTATCATCAGCAAAATATGGAAGGGCTGCGGAGCACAGTGATCAGAATATCAACAAGAATATAAGATTAATCAGTGCGCTGAAATATAGCTTTTGGTAACTGAGTACCTTCTTCAGGGCAAGCAGATTCAGTTCTGAATGAATGCAGAAAAATCCACGGTCATTCCCCCCGGATGCAGCGTTCCAAGTTCGAAAATGACAGGCTGCTCCAAACTGGTCGTTCCCAACCCACGCAAGGCAGTCTTCCACTTGCTGCCCAAAATTCACAAATCCAGAAATCCAGGCCGCCCCATCATGTCTGCGTGTAGTTGTCCCACTGAATTGATATACACATCCATTCCCCACGCGGGTGGTTGGGTTGCACTCAAACACTATCTAGATCTCCACCAGACTCAGGATCCTCCTAACAACACTCTGCTCCATCTGGCTGAGTTGGTGATCAGGTTGAACAACTTCACGTTCAACGGTGAGCACTACATTCAGACCAGTGGTGTGGCTATGGGCACACGGATGGGACAAAGTTATGCCTGTCTGTTTGTTGACCACAACGATGAACAGATGCTGACTCAATGTCAGGGCGTGCAGCCGTTAATGCACCGGTGCGTCCAGATCTGTGCGCGGAAACTTGGCACAACCATGCATTACAAACCCACATATTCCCACAGCTACCTGCAATACCAATTGTCTCACCCCCTCAAGTGTAAGAACTCCATCCCCTACTCTCAGTTTCTTTGACTGCGTAGGATTTGTAGTAGTGATACTGAATTCTCTGAGCGTAATAGGGCGCTAGTTCTTAAGAAATTGACAAGGTTTATCTCCCTTTGGCAAAAGAATAATAATACCATTCTTTCGAGTGACTGACAATTCACCTACAGTGTAGGCTAAATTCAGTGATCGAAGGAGCAACCATGACAGATCATTAACAAAAACTTGTAAAATTCTAAACTAAAACCGTCTGAGCCCGGAGATTTTTGTTTTTACTGCTCTTAAGGGCTCGTATGAGCTCTTCATGGGTCAACGGACCTTCCGTTTGGTCATGCACAGTATTGGAGAGAACAGGAGTGCTGCCTTGCTCAAAGATGGAGTGTGAAAATTAACTCTGTCTTCTTTCCTGTAAGAATACAATGCTTTATAAAACTCACGAGTTACTAAAAGAATGTCCTCACTCTGTGTTAGTCTAGAATTAGCATTAACATTAAAGGTAATTGATTTGATTGATTGCCACATTAAGGTTTCTCCCCTCTCTCCATCCAACGAGTCTTCGACCTAATAAGCACACCCTCCATTTTAGATTTGCGGAGCTCAACAAGCTGCATTTACTTGTTGAAGAGAGCCTCCGTTGCACCCAGATCACCCTCTGCAACTGTGACAGAAAGACCAGAAATTTCCTTCTTTAAGCTTTTTCTTCCATGCCTAAGAGGAGATTGTCTTAGCTCTGATTTTCATTAATAGGACCTAAAAAAAAAGCTGGTCATTAATTGTGAAATGAATGGTGAATCTGGTGAATATTTTTTAGACCATTAATTGAATATGGAGATGCGGCATATTCTTGTACAACTTCCCAAATGGTTTCCTTAACCAAATGTGCATAATTAACATCTGTAAGTAGGGCATTATTCCAATAACTTCCAATAACCATTACCATGATCTATTTGGTTCAAGTCTAACTGCAAATCAATTAACGAATGGTCACTTCTGTATTCTGACTTGATATCACCACTAACCAACTTTTAATTAAGTTCAGCAGAGATCAGAAGTCCAATATGAACTGTTTAAATGTATCATACTGTCTCCAGGTAAACTTCTTTAAATCTGGGTTATGAACTCTCCAAACATCAACTAAATCCCAATCGCCGCACTACTGCATCACTCTCTGTCTCGACAGAGTGTTATTAACCCTTCGGTAATTAACACAATCTCTGGACACATCTAATATCAAGTTCCAATCCCCACAAATAATCACATGTGTAGCATCAAAATCACACAGAATGTTAGAAATACCCTCATAGAAGTTAGACATATCTGTATTGTAATTTCATAATCAAAATTATTATTAAACAAAATGCCGACACCTCTTGCGTTACTTCTAAAGGAGCTAAATAACACTGTAATCCCCTTTCACTTCTCATTATGCTCTCCATATCTGTGTCAAAATGTAAATCCTGCAAAAAACATATGGAGTACTTCTTATTTCTTAAAAAATGCAAAACATCTCCTTTTAACAAAGTTCCCCAAGCCCTGACAATTCATCGAGGCAATCGACAAATTGTTATGACCAGGCTTTACTCCCGGTTACCCCAAACAGAAGTTATTTTGTACCCGCTTTGCATATCAAATGCAAAGCATTTCAGCAATGTAGGCTTAATTTGCATAACACCTACATGGGAACACATAATTTGAGGAACTATGTTGCATACAAAGCGAACTGCATGTTTTCATCTGAATAATACCAAAGTGGGAGCCTGGGAATTTTACATATGCCACACCCCACCCAAACAGAAGCAAAAATACATATCCTCCCACTACCCCAGAACACGTCCCCGAGAAAAAAAAAAACAGACCCATTGAGCATTAACCCACACCAAAGAAAAAACAGAAGAAAAAGGCAGTGAGTCAGAAAATATGGAAACTCCTACTAGATGCAGCAACCAATGACACAGTGTTTTTACCCCTGATAGCGAGTGATGCACAAATGATTCCATCGGGGCTCACGTAACTAAAACATTACTAAATGATCCGACTAATCTGCAAGTCAACAAAAAGTAAAACTCTTTTGTCTGGAATACCTTCAAGTTATGGCCGAAAAGAACAACCCACACAGAGTACAAATTATGGAAAAAACTGTTGGTGATTATACCACTTACCCGGGAGTGTAAAGGTACCCAAAATCGTGATTATTGAGACCTAAATTGTCTGATTAAAATCAAAGGGGATGCCGTTGTTGCTCCTCCAACGACCCACGGAAAATCTCAGTTTTCTATCCTTTTCATACAAGGCCCTTACCTCCGTCTTCCAGCGCAGTTTTTCCCTCCTGTCCGTTGCCGTCAGGTTGTCTAGGATGAATACGGACGTTCCCTCCAGAGCTTTACGATGTTCTTTTATCACCTTCAGCTTGTCCTGATAGCTCAACAATTTTACCAGAATGTGAGCTGGCCTCCCCTGTTTGTCAGGACCGTCACGGTGGGCACGTTCAATCTCCAGAAAATCACACCAACCAAAGTTTGTACCGAGAATATCCACGATTTTATTGCATGCAATTTTCTCCCTGGGTTCTAGGTACAGCCACCACTCTGAAGTTGTTCCAGCGGAAAACCTCTCTTGTTTATTAATTTCTATGGACTGTTTTTCTAGCATGATCTTCATCGATAAGAGCTTTGCTTTCAGATAGCTGACTTCTTTCTCCAACACCAATGTTGCTTTCTCGAGGTCTGAGATATGTTCACTGTTGAACTCAATGGATGCGGCTAACCTGGCCTCTCGCTGTTTCTGACCTTCCACAAGTTTTGCCAGCATAGACCTGACGAACACCTCAAACTACTGGGAGCTGGGGTCACCATCTTTTTCACTGGAGTCATCAGAATCATCTCCTCGGGAGGCCATGGGCATCTGTCTGGCAGGAGATGCACTTGCGCCAGTCCTTTTTCCACCATGTTGTTCAGACGGCAATGCAGGTTCTCGGTCGAGTGAGCTTGAATGTATGGGAGCCCCATGAGCGTACGTCTTACTCCAACGGCATCATCAGTTGCAATGGGAGACATTCTGTTGAAGACGTTTGCAAAGCTGCATGATGGAAGTCTCCCTCTACCTCCTGCTACTTGAGAGATGTCCTGCAGACCAACATCACAAATGGCAAAGGCACCTCCTGTAGGTCGAACGACAGGTCATAATGAAGTTCCTTTACTATTTCTTAAATTTATACATGCTTGTTTATATGTGAAAGTGTATTCTTGGCATTACATGTGTTGTTGCCAACCCCCACCTAGATCGGTGCTACTCTGCATATGTGGTGACTGTTTGGGTAGGTAGAGCGCCGTAGACTCCTCCCCCTTTAAGTGTGGGCCAGGTCTATGATCATGGCAGTGAGGCTGAACTGCAGTGTGGGAGATCAGGGTGCACCACGGTTGATCAAATCTTTTCAGCAAATAAATAATAGGCTCGTGGGAAATTTGCATATGTAGTGACTGTTTGGGTAGGTTTTCTGTAGTAGACCACACTTCATGTTTTAGGAATATTTACTATCAGTTCTATTCCTTTGGCATGTTTTCCAGATCTCACGATAATGCTGGAATTCTACATCATCGTAAAAACGTCATATACTGTGGAGGCATTCATTGCAGTATTGAAGCTTTCAATTCTTTGGCTAATCTCCCTGTGCATTAGTCACATATTATACCAGAAACACATGCAGTAATTTCATATTAAATGGGTGATAGTCTTTAAGTTTGAAATAAGAAGTCTGCTATATTTCAAGGTAAAAAAATTGTGCCACACATTTGCCAAAATTTGAACTCAAGCATATCACACTTTATTCTGGTTTTCTTTATTCCTTAGCTGCACACAAAGGAAACATGGTTGAAAAAAGGTTTAGCAATTAAACCTGATGAAAAGCCTTACAAAATGGTCAGAGCCAGACTGAGAAAGGTAAGATGATTTATTTTACATCTTTACTTTATGAAATGGTGCTTTCAAATACCTGAAGATGTATTCATCTGGTGTTACTAATCATCACAGAAAATGTATGCTGTTGAATGAAAGGTATTTCGTATACTTAAATCACACTGTTTGGGTTTTGTTTTTTGATATACAGTAAAATTTGATAACTCAAAGTCGGCTAACTCGAAACTCCGCTTAACTCGAAGAATAATTAATTCCTGCCGAAAGAATTGGCTTTTATGTACAAAAACATATCCATAACTCGAACTGCTCACTTTGCCAGATTCGTTCACCTCAAAGTTTTTGTTTCGCAGCTCCAAAAGAAACCGCCACCGAAATACTTCCAGAAAGTGTAAACAGAACACGGGTCTAGTTATGAATCATTTCTTACACACACACTTCGTCTTTTCACACCGGAACACTTGCAAGTGCGCTACAATGATGATCAATCTACACGCGTAAACCACACCGTGACCGCAAAATCCAACTTGCAGGAATTGGCCCAATTGTTACTGTAGGCCCATTGTAGCCAGTGTGTCGGCAGGCCAACTGATGGCTCTTTGTGTGTGGCTGCGGCAATGCATTGGAGATCTTTGTGTATGCTGCACGTGCCACACGTATGGAAGCTAAGTCTGGCCTTATGATCTGGCCCAGCTGCTTGCGCTCGCCCGTGCGATGGCTGCCCAATTAGAGCCACAAACCACAGCATGCTCACGTGCAGTGGACCAACCATGTGACTGCAACACACAGCTTTTGCGCAGCCAAATCTCACTCAAAAGTTTGAAAATAACGGACGAAGAAAAAAAAAATAAAAACAGACACCAATAGCATTTTTGTTTTTAAGAAATTTTATTGAAGCGCAAAAAGATGCACCCCCTTGTGATGAAAAAAGGCGTCAGACTCATCGAGTACGCATGTGCAAGGCACTGCGTTGTGGTGCGGTATCAGAAATGGGACCACCGCAATGCGTCACACATGCACAACGCAAAACAAAAATTTGCCACACAAAGGTACACAGTTTAAATGATTTACAGTACGTGTAATGTGTTATTTATCAGCCGATTGACAACAAAAACCCTCTGCAAAAATGTCTTTCTATGAACAAAAACTTGTGACACCAACGTATAAAATAACCACAATGTCATTTCAAAAGTCATCATAGGGAGATTTACAGTAACTGTGCATCATTGTACAGGTACATGTTATGACACACATCGTAATAATGACTGAATTTCAAAAGAAATCGGGACCTTCTTTTAATTTGAATTTCGGATAACTCAAATTTTTTGTCCATGCCCCAGAGATTCGAGGTATCGAGATTTGTGATAAATTTGTAATATCCTTTGGGGCCCAGACATTACCCACTTCTAAATGCCTTGATTTAAAACTGCTGTCATACTTCATTTCACCAATAAAAAGTTGTTCTTGATAGAGAACAAGAAATGTGGATCACTATAGACATGACCATACAAGTCATTTCTCTACTTTTGAAGGGTTTTAATGTGAGAGAATACTTCAAATTCATAAGTAGTTTATTCCATTTGCAAATTGTGAATTTATTTTCACCTTCGTGGTAGGTTTTAGGAAATCAGACTTATCCCCAACCGCCACACATTTCTGTGTAATTATGAGGATATTGAGCTGATTCCCAATCACCTATGACTTCTGTTGGAGTTCCTTTTTTCTTTAACCAATAACAGTCCTCAAATCTCCAAATCACCCTACATGTAGGGGTTAGAGTTAACGATAAGGACAAATATATAAACTTGAAACAAGGTTCATTAGGCAAGCAGTTTTTTAAGTTGGTGCTTGGATTTTTTTAGACAAATCTTTGAGGACAGGGAAAAAAGTATTTTCTATGTTCTCAAGAAAAGCAAATAAGGGTCTTCAAGTCGGAGGAAAGAATGCCAAAAATTGTTTTTAAAAAGAAAAAGGAGGTATCCCTTACCATTGGTGCTGGCCTCACAGGACCAAAGCTCACAAAATTGAAATCAGAGACTCAGTTGGACAGGGGAGCAAAAAAATTTTCTTTTTTTTTACATATATATCAGTAAATTGTTGGTCGGCAGATCGAAGACTTCTCAAAATGAAGAATTAATTTTTTTTAACAGTTCTGAATTTGCAAGGTTCGTGGATTGGAGGACCAACTTAAAAAAAATCTCACCTTATGATTTGAACATAACCCTGATCCCAAGTTGTCAGAGTCGTAATGACTTGAGTCAATGACTAGACAGGAGTTTGACTCAAGTCACAATTTCTGGTGACTCAACTGAGTCTTGAATGGTAAATGACTTAATTCAACTTGAGTCTCTGCAACCAGATGACTCAACTCAAATCGAATCTCTCATGGAGACTCAACTCGAGTACAAACTTATAAGACTCAAGTCTCAAAATTAAAAGCAACATTTTAGTTGGCTAGATATATGTACCTGTCACCCAAACTATTTTCAGTATTTCTAATGAAAATAAAAATACCCCAAAATGACTTACATGTTGTGTTTTTATTGTATTTTGTTCAAACATTGACTCAAATTGACTCCAGCTCCGTACTCGACTTTACTAGACTCAACTTCTTGACCTAACGACTCGAGTCACCAAATTTGGTGTCTGCGAGATGTAGATATAAGTGTGACTATGGATTATGCCATCACATTCTTACAGCTTTGTTTCCCAAAATTGCCACATGTATGTTTTGGTTGAAGCTATTGTGGTCATAATTCTCTTTGATGTATTGAGTGGTTTGTCTATTTAAAGAACAAAATGAAGGCTTTTCCATAGTTTTCAAATGTTGAATTACAGCATGAGGAGAATTCCCATACAGCACAATTAATGTCGCTATGCTGAATACCATTTTACCTTATCTTGGTTCCAAGACCTTGTAGTTTATTGTGCAGTCACATAAACCCCTTAATCCAAGGATCACTATCACAAACCATCACTGCTAGCATACACTTTCTCCATATGAAAAAATATCTGCCATAAATCGCTATCACAGGAGAGTCTCGGATATTCAATTTTTTGGGTTTTTTGCTACATTACCTTGACAATTATAGGTCGGGTCCATCGCAAGTCCCCTCACATGTTAACTCCAAAGTCTTTTAAGAAGTTCAGTCTTAAGCAACAAGGTGAACAGTGACAAAAGAAGGCTTTGATCACAGTTCATTTGAAAAGCTTGTGAACTGGTTTGAGACCAAATGATTTTTGATGGACTTGTAACGGAGACAGACTTACAGTGACTCTCGGACTTGTGATGGAGTGGCATTCATAACATAAAAAGGGTGGTGTTCATTTGGTGATGGATTTTGATTTTTTTTCTTCATTCCCCATTTACTTTTTGTTTTCTTCATTTTTTGTGAATTTGAAACGGCAAAAAAGAGAGATTCTTTGAATGGGTGAGGACTCAAAGCATCTGAGCCCATTTGAATCACAGAATATCCAGCTTTTGAGTTGTTTCTCTTTCAACTGTGTTCCCCCATTATTGCCCATATTATACAAGAGAACAAGACAGCTTTATTTATGCTTTGAGTCATGGCATTCCTGCCAACTGTTCCGATTTAGGCGGAAACATTCCAATTTTAGAGATTAAAAGTGCCCAAAAACCGGAACATGCGGATTTTCCAGGTTGCGAAAGAAGAATTGAAAAAAGATCAAAAATATTCAAAAATACCCTGGCCCGCCCATTGCAAAACAATATTGTAAAACAATATTGTTGTTTGGTAGACTTGTTCCCGTACCCTATGTCTCTGAAGTGAAAGTTGTGAATAAAAATGTGTCAGCCAGTGTCCATGTAATCTTATGTTATTTTATGAAAATTGGGACAGGGACCAGTCTAGTGGTATGAGGGTGCTATTACCACTACTATAATGGTATAAAATCCGCCTTGCTCTTTTGTACGACGAAAGTCCTCTGAATCAAGCACAGGCCAAGCACGACGTGGTGGACGTATTGACATCGATTGACACTATGCTTGTTTTCCACACACATTGTTTTTACAAGTCTTCAGTATTTTTTCCGTGGATATTTTGTAAATAGTTTGACCGTTTGTAGCAACTCAACTGCAACATAGACATGGATAAACAGAAAGAAAAAAACAGAGGAGTAAGAAATTCTGAGAGGAATATGCAATAAAGTATCACTTCATGAAGACTTCACGAAGAGGAGTTCTCAGAATTGCCAAGAAAGCCACCTATCAAGCACTCAACCAGCATTGAGCCATCCATCTACCAGTTCCACAGGAGACCAGTAACTGGCATTCATTATGAAAATGCTGCCTCTTCATGCATGATATTTTTGGTAACTTCTTTTTATGTGGTTTAATCCTTCTGATATTTCTGTTTACCATTCAACATTCTATAAACCATAATTCATTAGAGGCCCTGTAAACAGCAATTTTTGTATGATTCTTCAGGCTTAAGACTCATACAAAATTGATGTTTGCAGGGCCTCTCATGGAGGTTCAAAAGTGCCAAAAAGCAGGAGCTTCCGGGGACACTGACCCCTGAACCCCACCAGGGGCCCTACAGTGGGCCCCTGGACCCCAGCCATTCAGTGCAAGCGTCTGCGACACTCGCCGAATGTTATTGGAGGTGTTCCTCTTTCTGACTTTCCAATGTTGGCAGGTATGCCATGGGATAAATTCCATCATTTTCCCAGTGGTAGCTAGCTATGTAAATCTGCATATGTGCAATCAAGCTTTACTCTTTGAATTGAGTAACTCTTTGGCTAGGTGCACAACTATTTTTTGCATTCATATGCACAGTGCATGCTTATGAAGCAGTGTTGTAGTCGAGTACTTTTCGAGTACCAACGTTCTCCCGAAAATACTGAACTGGGTAAGAGGGAAAAAGTCAGAGTGCACAGGCATTTGATGGTAAATGTGCAAAGGTAAGATTACAAAATAAATGTTAGACTTCAGACACTCCCAGTTGTGTAAAATTTAAGTTTTAAGGAGAAAAGTACTTGGAAAGTACTGAGTACTTTCCGTGTTC